GGCTCTTCTCAGACGTTGGCATTCTATAGGAAAATGCATTGTAAAGTTGGAATCTCTCCAATTGGATTCCATGTCGCTGCCTTCTATCTTGGCAGGACTCCGAAAGCGACAGCAGCTCGTCGGACCCGGAGATGGTGATTGCAGAAGGCAGCTCCTCAGCCAGTGAATCTGGCAAACGTCCAGCCGCAACGTCAGCGCGAGGAGCTTGTGCCATGTTTACGTGGCCATGTCCTCGTCGCTTGACAGCGTCACAGTTTCATTGTTGTGTTGGGTTGGTTGTCGGCACTTCCAAACAACTGGTTTATTATCGCTGAGGCACGTACGGCAAGACGTTGGCAGACCGGGAGAAGTTGGGCGTTTTGAAGCCAGCCGACTGGACCAAAGAGGACTTAGGCACCAAGTTCCGTGGAGTTCTTCAGAAACGGAGTCTCTTGGAGGCGTTGAAAAGCATGGTGATCGCGCAGGAACCTCACAACAAATGGGCTCCAGGACACGAAGAAAGGGAGGTTCACTACCACATTGTCATGAAAATGGCAGCTCCCTTTGCCCACGCCAAGATCTGCACCGATCTTGGAGCTTCAGGGTGCAAGGGATTCTTCACGTTTCCACGTGCGGGGTGGGCATCCTATCTTGCCTATGTCCTCTTGCCCTCAGCGAAGAAGCTGCAGAAGGATTTAGACCCTTGTCCCATGTTTTGGCCCCCAAGCTTTACCAAAGAGAAAGCCCTTGAAGTCATCAAACAGGTTGACGCTAAAATGCTGCATCGCAACAGTGCTGAAGTCCAGCAGCAGATCAAGGCCACGCAGAAGACTTCTGCACCCAAGCGCAGGCGAACTTTGACTTTTTCGGAGTTCACGGACTACGTGGTAGAGAACCGTTGCGTGGATGAGGCTGATGTTTGGCGATTAGCCAAGAGGTTGAAAACAGCGGGAGAAGACTTGATGTGGAACTACTTGGAAAACAAGGATGTGGGAAGCGTCCTGCGGAAAGCTTTGAGGGGTTGGCATCACGAGTCCTTGCCGCAGGGCATGCTCCAAAAGACGGTCCAGTACCCCATCTCAGCATTCATTGTTCCCGAAGGAGTTCGGCGTTGGATGGACCATGGCAGTGGGGAAAAGGCTCTCATCTTGCACGGTGAGGGTGGACTTGGAAAGACAGAGCTAGCTTGCGCAGTCATGTATGAGCTGACTGGACCGTTTTTCTTCTTGGACAAGTTAGATGCTGCCAAGAAGATCCACTTTCGGGGAGGCGAAGGGCTGGTGATTGACGATGTCAGTTTCTCGAAGCTTGAGGTTGATGATGTCAAAAGTTGGCTTGACATCCAGAAGCCTCGCTTCACCCATTGCCGAAACGATGATGCTTTCATCCCGGCAAAGACGTTGAGGATCTTTACAACCAACTCTCGTAGTGTGGACTTCTTCCCGGTAGAGGCCCGGATGGAAGAACACGTTAAAGCCATCAAGCGTCGTGTGGAGTGGGTCGACATCAACGAAGATGTGCGGCGTCCAGTCCCACTGCCACCCCCGCTCCCTCTTCCAGAAAATCCAGATGAGGAAGAGGACCCCTTTGGCTTCGGCTTCGATTTGCGCTGAGCGCCGATGCACACGACCTCGCTTGGCCGTGCTCGTGAAGCCGGCGGTTTTGGTTGCGACCGCAGATGACAGTCCGGATGCAGACTGAAAACGCGACACTTGTGGGCAGCTCGCTTTTTGGGTGTTAGGCTACAAGTGAAGCAGTAGACATGCTAGACTTGCAAAATTACAGCAACTGGCGTGCATCGCACAGACTGCAGCAAAGTCAAAGCATCAGACGTCTCTTACAGGGCCTGGCAGCAAAATCAAACCATCAGACGTGTTTTCGGGCTTGGAAGCACAACCAGAACGGTTTGGAAACA